ATGACAGCTGCGTATGACTTAATTTATTTTCTGGTGCTTTCACTTCCTGAGACAATTGTAAGCACCGTGTAACTGCCTGGAGGATGCTTGACCATTTTAACACAACGTGGTGCGATCATCCCCCTTGCGCGGAGCGAGGGTTCTCCACCCCGCACAACATGATCTACTCGACCACCATTATGGTTACCGCCAAAAAAAAAAACGGAGGAAAAAAACAAAAAAGGTAACGTGGTTGCCGAGTTAACGAAGTGAATTGGCTTGTTTTACAACGTCGTTGCCAAGCGACGAAAACCCAATCCCGATGGCAAACACCGGGGGGGGCGGCTTGTTTTACAACGTCGTTGCCAAGCGACGAAAACCCAACCCCGATGGCAAACACCGACGAGAGAGGCGGGGCGACATGGGGGAGATTCATATATTCTCCGGATCAAACACAGAAGAAACGGTAGCAACAGAAGAAACGTGCGGGTATGTTTCTGTACATACTTCAAGAAGTATTAGCATACACCGCGCTAACTGGCTGACCAATTAAAGACGGCAGTCTCAGGGCGGTTGAAGACCCGAACACTTCAAAATGTCATGAAATGGGACTCCTTGAGGGGCGGCACAGGGGAGGTGTGTGTGCGGTGCTGCTGCAGCTCCACGGGAAAACGATTGTAATACCTCATCCGTTTATTAAAACCTTCGTTCCCGAAAAGACCCGCAATACCTGTGGCTGTGTCTACTGTATATCGCAGATGTACTTCGAATTCTTTACGCTTTGCCCAATCGTGACTCTTACGGCGTATGCATTCCACAATGCGCGATGCGCGGATCCAGAATGAATCCACTGCAGATGAGCTTTGACGGGAGAAGTTGCATGTATTTATTCGACATGGGCCAGTGTCCCGCTCGATCGTGGGTCCTGCAGTGTATGTGGGGGACGCACGCCTAGCCTATCGGCGAGAGACATGCAAAAGAGAACACACTTAACCTGAGTGGTATTGCTGTTGCAGGAAGCGCCGAAAACCCTCCGTGCTCAACCATCGCGTTACGACATGGTCAAGATTGATGGGAAGACTAATAGTCTAACGAAAGAGTGCGTGTGATGGCACTCATCGGTGATGTCACATGGCACCGTGGTGCGCAAAAATATCAAGAACGGCATGATTTATTTGTATCTCCGCACCGGTATCGGTGTCATCGCACCGGTGCGATATCAGCGATATAAAATCTGCTATGGACGAAATTTTGCGTGCTTCCGCACGGTACCGGTACCCTCTGGGCCACGTGTCGAACAGTATGTAACGCGGTTGGCAGATACCAATTGGGGCGCCATTTCATTGGTGTATATCGTACCGCCGTGGTTTGCGCAGTAGAAATGATTTTTTTGTTTTTTCTACGGTAATTCGTACATCGAATGCACTCACTCACTCAACCAAGCACATAGCAGTACACATTCCGCACCTTCAATCAACCGAACAAGAAGAAATTCGTTAACGGTACTACAATTCTACCGGTACCATGCCCCTTGAGGCAGACAGAGACGGAGGGAAGCACAAGCCAACAATAGGGGCTTTCGACCAACGAAGAGGCTGGAAGAAAAATAAATGATACCCCGCCGTATAGATACCTTCCTCAGCAGGGGACCACAGCGTCTGTTCCCTTTGGCGCACGCCACCCCAAACTCGGATTCGACCTCATCACTATCATCACTGCGGGCTGGTTGCATGGTACCGTCTACGCAAGCTCCTACTGCAAGAGTTGCAGCACCCAAGACGAAGACATCTAGTCTACGCCTGTTCGTTTCTTGAGTATCGCACCTATCGGTGTCATCGCACCGTGGTGCGCTCACTCAGCACCGCATCATGGCCACTATGATTTCTTCCACATCGCACCCATCGGTGTCATCGCACCGGGGTTGCGTTCGAAATCTATTAGAACGAAATGATTTAATTGCATTTCCGCACCGGCATCGGTGTTATGGCACCCATCGGTGATAGGGCACCGGAGTGCGATACAAAACCAAGATAGGAATTATTTCAAAAACGATCGGACCTCGGTGCCATCACAAGTACTTTTAATATTAGTTTTTTTTTTGCGAAAAGTGTCGCCCGTTAGGGGTACGCTTTTTGTTTTGTTTTGCAAAAAAAAAGCTGTTTAGAGGGATCGTGTGTGGAGTATGTGCGCACGAGAAAAAGAATGATTTTCATGCACAGGGGCGTGAAAATTACGCGATGATGGCTGTCTGTCTGTCTGTCTGTCTGTCTGTCTGTCTGTCTGTCTGGTGTCTGCGCGCCCTAAATACNCCGTGCTGCACACACTGCTGCTGCTACTGGCAAGACACGCACTACACAGAGACAGGGAACATGGACAAGGGGGGCGGGACACACACACATACTGACCACGTCGCCGACCATCGACCTGCATGCGACCGACAGAGTCAAGCAGTGGCC